ATCAGCAATCGAATGGCCCTAACTCCGGCCGTTGCGCCTCTGCAGCTGTCCCGAAACGTCACTCTCGGGAGCGTTAATAGGAGTACCTCATTTGCGGTAGTCGATGCTGAAAATGGACCATGCCGCAAGGGAACACTTTGATCACCGCAGACAATCTTGCTCGGACGTACCGAGCCAAGAAAAAAAAACTCCATTTGGAAGGCAACCTGTTGTGTATGTATCGCTGATACGGTGCCGTGTCTTTGCCGTGGGCAGAAGGCTGCTGCTGCCGCATTACTGCTGCCGTTATCTCGTGTTGTGTCCGCAGATGGACTACTCAGAATCTGCGGAGGTGCACTCGTGGGGATGGATGGTCCCTTTGCAGCAATGACTTTTTGCCATTTTGTTTTGCTTAGCAAGCTTTTTGTCCAATCTGAAGACGATAGACTCGAATAAAACAAAGTCGGTGATAGTAGAGAATAAGAACCGGCTTTGTTTATAATCCGGAATGATTTTTTCATTACTCGTAAATATAGACTTGCAATGGTTTTGCCTTAAGACAGAACTATTTGTGATAGTAAACATCTTTATCCAAGATGATATGAGCAACTCTTCTAAGACATTTTGCAGTTGACTGCGAAAGTATTACATGGGTATTAACAATTAAAAGCATAAAATCGCTACCCTCAATGGTAGTGAATAAGAAAATTTGGAGTAAAATTTGCGAAATTTGCATCACATAAATCTTTGCTGCTCATTGATATCATGACGGCAGATTGTAAGTGATAGGTACAACTTTTGGTTCCCCAAATGCAACCATTGTACTATAATACACCATACTGTACTACACTATGCTATGCCATGCTATGCTATACTATACTATACTATACTATACTATACTATACTATACTATACTATACTATACTATACTATACTATACTATACAATACTATATTGTACGATATCATACTATACTATATTTTATGTCCTACCTGGGCCGCGATTACGTTCGATACGGGTGTTCCGGCCCGTGTGATAACTAGCGGTACGGCCCGGGGGTTCTTACCGCGTACGGCCCGGGCCTTCCTAATGTTCCGTGGAACGATTCGAACGCGTTTCGCCCTAACCGCGTGCACCGATTTCGAAATTCGAATACAAAATTCGGACGTTGGAATTGATGCTGTCGCATTTTTTTTGGGTTTAGGGACACCAAATTTTCGCTCATTTCGCATTGAAAGGCGCGTTTTCTTGGGTGGGTATGACATAAATAAAATACAACACGGTGTATTCCGCATCACCCTCGGTCCCAGCCCTCCCGCGGATCGGATCGCCCTCCGGCCTTCGGCCGTCGGGCGATCCGACGCGCGGTCGGGCTGGTACCTCGGGCGATACGGAATACACCGTGTTGTATTCTATATATATCATGTTATATCGTTTCATATCATATCATATCATATCATATAATTGTATTAGAATCACTTTTTTTTTCTTTTCGTCCTTGGACCAGTGTGACCTCTATGCCAGTTAACCGTGAGATGTTCACCGTACATATACATCTTGAAGGCGAGTTAGTCACTTCCTAGAAGAGCCGATAGCAACAACAATCACTCCTACTGTCCGCCGGACGGGAAGATCAATAGTGATAAATCACCTTGTTAGGTCCTGTTTCCCCTAGCAGAGCTACGTCTGATGGGTCTGAGTCGTGTGGACGTAAATAAGGAGACGCCCCCCCCCCCTGCAAGCGTTATTAATTACAGGAAAGGCCGCCGCGCGTCACAGATTTTACTTGCTTTCCCCAACGGCCGTTTTGTTTTCGATTTCATTTCATGCAAGGTAACTTTAGAGAAAACCCGCAGAGACAAGTGGCCGCTCGTGCCTGTGCCCAAAGTTAGACTACATGCCGTGTTGTAATTCACTTCTACTTTTCATAACATTTGTGCAGCTGTCTCACATTTCTGCATTCAGAGTTGGCGCTAAAACCTACACGAGGCGCACTCATTTTGTGGCACCAACACAAACTACCAGAATGCAAAAAAAAAACATGACTGACAGCTGTGTTTCTAGCTTTTAAACACAATCGTAAGGTGTCATATTTTGACATGGCACTTATTTACAATGGAGTAGATTTGATTCAACTTATTATTTTGTTTCAACTTACTTTGTAAATAAATGACCAGAGAATCTACTTTTTGTATCGTCGTAATGTTACATAATGGAGTTGCATAATGGAGCACGGAAGCTTGTTGATTGACCTTTATCTATTCTCTACTCACTGCCGGGATTCTCCCTGCTTACACTTCCTTCGCAAGGCTTCGCAATGATTGAACAATAAACGGCCGGGGATCCATCATATACTGATCTTCGTGACACTGCCAAAACGTCAACGTGAGAGGTAAAGCTCGTATGATGCGATGCAGTGATATCTTGACCATCTATGCCGTTAATATGACCCTGGTTTGGCATGGATTTTGCATGATAGGTAGGTAGATTTTCAAAGCATTTTCTGTATGCAATCAACTTGGTTACTACGACCTTACTCCAATGCCTCTTTGGTCAAATCCAAAGGCGCCCGTGGTACATAACAAATCGAAGCGTCTCTGGCTAATGGCAAAGATGGCAACTCCAGGACAGCTGATGTGATTATCTCAAGCGATGACATTGTTATCTCTCCGCGGAGAGCATTAAGAAGTGTTATCTAGAAATATCGAGCAGCTTCTGCTAGGCAATGAAAGGACCAACACAAAGGAGTCGTGCTACAAAACACATTGACGTTAGTACCGGTCAGGACTTCTAACGTCGTCAGTCATGTGCGTTGTTATATGGACGAGCTCATCTGCAGCCCCTGGATCGTTTGAAGTTGGTTATTGGTTTCGGTGATGGCGGCAGTCAGGCATGGCAGTGACAGATAAGGGGAGGTGCACAAAGGCCACGGCTATGATGTAGACAGGAAACGGCACCATAAAGCTCCTTTCTCCTATGGCATCATTAGATGTTCCAACACATATCAGCGACTTTATCTGACCTGGCCATGTTGAGAGCATCTTTGTCAAGGAGCTACTTCAGAATCTGTTTATAGTTATGTACGATTGATGAGATACTTATGGTGATAGATGTTTAAGTGCAGATCATGACCATTTCACAAATCTATAAAACTCCTCCCCAAAAGTCCGCTTTGCCTGATGAAAAATACCATGTTAATGTGTGTGAAGTCGCTGATAGACTTTGCCGGCCACCTTCGTGAACCATTTTAGAGATAGAAAAACGTAAAATTGGAACTTTTTTTGTAAAATTGGAACATTTAAACAAAACAATACATAGTGACGAGGCACTCAAGCGAATATATAGCTTATATTAACGTTACCTCACTCTCACTTATTCTGTGCCACTGGATATAAAATAATCCTTGGAATTCCGGAACGGTTGCTCAGCAAACAAGAGAGTTGAAAATGGCGGCTGAATTAAAATCGAAGATACCTAATCCCTGCTTCAATCCAAATATCAATGTCAGATGTGATTGTTTCCGATAATGCCGACAGACGTGTTGTTCTTTGCTGTCCGTTGGGTGGGAATGAAATATCAGTTGTAGTTGCAATCATGGGGAGAGGCTGTTACTGTGACACGGTGTCCACTGGCACCGATAGCGCTGCAATTGTGTGGTTCGCTCTCGATATTGGCATGCGTCCCCTCGTGGTCGTTAAACCGGTTCAAGGGGAACTCATCACGTTTAAGTGCTTGATTTCGCGTAGCTGTTGTCGTCTACCGGGGACTGACGTTTGTACTGCATTTAATCGAATCACACAGCGCTGCACCGGTGATATTTGTTTGGCAAAAGAGTTCGATCCCCTGACATGCCCGAAGTTGTGCCCTTGGGAAATGCACTTTACACGACTTCCCTCCCTGTACGGTGGAGTGACACCCATCGTTGATACTGTGCCCAAACATTGATACAGGCGCGGATTTGATGTCGCCAATGTGCCAAGGTCTCCACATTTGCCACTAAGATCAAGAGCCGTACAATTTTCTGAGGTAAATGTTCGGCTACTTTGGACTAACCTCCATGAACCAAAACAGTGGCGTAACTCCTGTGGGAACCGTGATGGGATCTTTTCCAAGTTCACAAAACGTGCGGAGATAAAGTGGCGGTGCGTAACTTTCAAGTTTCATGTACCCGCTATTATCCAGGCCAGGGGGAGTTGTAAATATTCCTACAAAAGGCCGGTTGTAGTTTACGTCTTCCATTCCCGTTCCTGACAAACTATGCCCGGAGGAACATTACCGGCTTTCCCCTGGATAACGTTTAAGACGTGCTACAGCAATAGGGAACGACGGCGCACGGTAGTTCGAGCTCGGGTGTAAATCCTCGACTGAACAAGATGTATGGAGTTGCCTGGAAAGACATCTAGAGACGGAGCCTTGCCTGACACCCACACGACTGTTGATGGCCAATCAAACAATCAAATTGTAAATCAAGGCACAGCGGATTTGGACTTGATCTCTTTGCACTTAACCAAACCTGCAGCATCACAAATCGGTACTGTTGTCCTTACGGCGGAAACGTATTTCACCTTCGAAGAAAGTACTTTTGTATTTTCGGGATGTTAGATCATAGTTATCTGCATGTTTTCGACTGCACGTTAGCAGAACACTAGCCAACTGGAGTGTTCGGGGCCACATTTGACTATAGTTAGCTTTAATTCATTTCGATTCGTATACAATGTAATAGACGTGGCCTAGATTTGGTCAGAGTGTTCCCGAAGGTCACCCGAGCTAGTGTTAGGAACAAATTCGGGAGAAGGTCGTGAGTGTGTGACTGTGGCTTTAGAAATGACAAAACGATGCACCCACCGTTGTCACGATACCTCACCACGGAGGGAGGATCCTTGCCCGCGGCGAAGTTGGCCATGAGAGGTGCGATGTACTGAGTCGAGGCCAACGATCACAGCAGGAGAGACCCCGTAGAGAGAAATCCTGCAAAAAAACAAACAAAATGGAAGGGATTTAGGTCTGATGCATCTAGGCTGATACGGGAATTTTTGACGCGCTTTCAGGAGCAAAGGTCCTCTTCTTTACAAGCCTTTCCTTTAGGCCATTTCGATTTGATTAGATGGATCATATCAATTCTAAAGGATCCTAGGAAAAGTAGAAAATGTGAACAAATGAAAATGAAGAGTCTATTATTCGCTTTACCATACTCTATGTGCTTATGTGAGCTTTGAAAATCCTATTTTGCTGCCCTTAAATTGCATTGCTTGCCTTCAATCCTTGTTATTCTTATTAATATATGATTGTAATTCTCATATCCAGGAAAATTTCTATTCTGGTAAGGGCAATAGCAAGAAAGACAAAAAATTCATTTCTAGCATGGCATCTAATAGATATGCATTGGAAGGAAAAAACACACACTAGGAGCTTCCAGCCTTCATCTACTATCAAGGGCTCATCTTTTAAAGACATCCAATGCAATTACAGGGCGGTAAACCTAGATTGATTTTCAAAGTCAATTTTCTGGCTATTCTCTTAGTGTAGTAAGTTGAATCCACACTATCCCATAGCATACTGATATCTGTGAGTCAAAAATGCGATGTCACTGACGGAAAACGGTTGCTTGTTTTGTATGGCAGGTTTGGCTCTAGCTATTTATGGGTGGTACCCCAATCGAGAGACACCTCAAGTAGCTATTTTCTTAGCCTATGTCAAACGCTTCAAGTGTGAAATGATGCCGCAAATGTGCTAAGAAATGGCAGTAAATGTCAGTATAGGCCAGATTTCTTCATCCTGAATATTTTGTTTGTTTTGCTGTCCTGAAATTGTATCGGATGACTTTGACAGCGAGCGTCCGTAATCCATACAGTCTGATTATACAAGTGAACAAGTATCCCGATACTTTAATTAAGTAAGAATTGACTTAACTGGAAGAAATCCATAGTCGCCCAGGATGTGTAGTAGTTTTAACTACGCACGGTAACCATGGATAATGCCGTTAATGAGAATTCCGCAAAGCAAGGAAATCCTTTTCGACTAAACTTTCAGAGAGGACGTCAATTGTCGTTTGCATTTTCCCCCTTACATCCGAATGTCGTAAACTTGGTGGGCAACAATTTTCTGCCTAGTCCCCTGAGTATAATAAAATATTCAGCCTTAATAAAGTGTCTAATTTTTCACGATTTATTAGAAATGACTGACCTTCGGTCGCTATGGAGAGGTTGCGTAGGGGATGTCCGTAGAAGGGGAAGGCAAAGGAGAGCCTGACAGCCTGAAACAAAAAGTACCAGAAATAGGAATAAACTGTGATTCACAACACAGGACGAAGGTGGGACTTTTGCAGCGCCAATCTTTTAACATCTACCAGACTCCGTAAGCGGCTGGAAAGATTAGAAATTATCCAAATAGATAGGTAACATGCAAGGGGAGTTGGTCTACTAAGGGTGCGGCAAATGCACGCCTTTAGCGGACCAATTTGCTTGACATGCTATTTGTCTATTTGGCCAACATAATTCTTTCCAGCCGCTTCCGAAGACTGATAGAGGCAAGTCCAGCCTTTGTGAAAGAATAGACAAACCACCGTTTCCATCACTCCAACACAGATTAACTTTCATGGCAGTAGAATTAATTCTATTAACACAGACGAACTTTCGAGCTAAAACGTACCTGCATTGTAGACAACTAGCGCAGCGGAAAAATACTGTCATATTCAAAGTTTACTTACATATTGGTATTCTGTTCCACTTCATGAGAGATTTGATTAGTGGCGGTATCAGTCAATTACTTAAGTCTGTAACAACTAATTGGGATGAGTAGATGCGCCAATTAGTTCTCATTAATACTGTTTTGTGATCTTTAAATTAAGTCCGATAGGCTTGCTTCCGGGGATGGATCATTCAGTCGAGCGGAGTCTAATTTCTATCGATGTTTTCAGAAACGATTTGCAGTGACTCGAGTCAACAAATACCACTTCAGTTACGTACGAAAATCTTTGTACTTTGCTGCAGGAACTCTTCTAATTTGCTATTGATTTTGAGTGACAATTTGAATTGCAGGGTTTCCATCGCAGTCTTACCTTAGTCCTTTTCCCACTGTCCAGGGTTCCACTGTTTACCACGTTCCGTCGATCCCCTCCGCCTACAGTTTCCCATGATCCACTTGGTGTCGGGTAAGATGGCGAATACTGGGACTTGTAGTAGCCATGGTCCAGCTGTGTTCGTAAATAGATTTGATTATGAAATGTTGGTGATGCGTGTGATATAACATATGTTCATAATCACTACCTCTCTTAGCCGTGTTAAATAATATTGATCACGACCTGAATCATTTGACGAGTATTATCCAGATTGAAATTACATTTTTCCAAGCTACTACTTTTGTACATTTTGCCAAATGCAAGTCAGTCTTATTTCTTGTTGACGGGCACAATGTGTGTCAAAATATCGGGTTTATTCATATGATATAGTGTACTTATAGAGAGGGTATCATAGATAATGTGAATTCAGCGTAAATGATATATCTATGTCATGATTTATTGTTTTTAGTTTACCATACTCAGCGTTGCCACGGGTAATGGTGTCAAAGCCTAAGGTTCGGTCACCTTGATGTAACGTTAGGTCAACATTGCTTGATGGTTTTCTATCGACTCTGACGGCAATGTCATCACAGTCATCAGTACTGGTCGATACCCACGTGACCCCTACTCGTCCTGAATTCAACCATCGATGAGAATCCCTCATTCCTTCCTAATCAAAATCGATAGTTACGCCATTCCGGGGCATCCTATCATTAGGATTGATCGCCGGTGTGCCCGGCGGGAAGCTTTTTCAGGACGGGTCGAAGAGAATGCTGCTCATCTGCAGCTTGTGGAGACATCGCTATGTCTAACACGGCTCATCGTCTACCTCCTCCCCTTCCACAGGTTTACCCGGCTGTTCTTCGGACTCATATTGATTATAGCACATCGATGTCACTAAGGCCATGTTGTTATATGGATGACATCTGCGCGCACATGAATTTTCTTCCGTTTCAAGTTTTCGACCGACTGTACATCGCACAAAGCATCTGCAAAATGAGCAAATATACGCCGTAAATTGCAAAAAAAATAAAAACGATAGTAATGTCGTAGCCTGCCAAAATCAAAACGAAAAGAAGAAAATGTGAAGAAATAAGAATGAAGAGTCTATTATTCACCATACCATACTGTGTTTAGTCATTTGTTCAACCTTCATGACCACGCAGATTTCATAATGAAGGCAACGTTTTTTTTTTGCCAACCTTTTTATTCGCACGCTCGCGTCAGTTTTGGCGTTCCCAGAAGATGTCCTCCATGTGAATACAGTCAAATCAACATGGCTTTACTGCATATCGATGCCACTAAGGCGTGATGTATGTTTTGGAACGGAGTTTCCCTGAAGCGACTGAGGTATTGATGAACGAGCTTTGAAGCGCTTCTGGCTCGAGGGGCTACGCCCTCCCTTCTTCACTCAATTTCCTCCCGTTGCACTGTTAATTGTCAACTATTGATGCCGAGATAGATCACACTTAAATGTTGCTTGTGTCAACTAGAATTTATAGCATTTTCATGCTTCTTCAGACTCTAATTTTACTTTGGAGGTTTGTAAAGTTTGTCCTGGTTGTTCGTAATAGATAGCCTGCATCGCTTGTCCAGACAGTAATTTGGACTCAAGTCTATTTCTGGATTGTATATTAAATACGAACGCCACTTTGCAACTACTACGAAAGCAAGTCTCTCTTTCTTCTTCCATACTCCATCTCTCAGGAGGAAGTTCTACGCTGAAGGCTTCCTTGTGAATGCTTCCCAAATGGGTACAACCTTAAACTTTTCAAGTCTAAGGTGAACAAATATTTGTCTTTACAGTCCCTTAACGTAACCCAAAAATTGTGAGTGGTTGGTTCGTATGAGCCTTGTTTTGATCTGAAAATGGAAGTTGGAAGACTTGCAAAACGACAAGTAAAACATTTTTTTTGCTGATTTACTGTAACTTAGTCCTTTCCAATCTTACTATATTTAATTAGAATCCTGTTGGCTTATCGAAGGTAAATCAACCATATCAATATTAGCATTTAACTGTGGAGGATTTACATGTACAAAACTGTAATATCGTCGTCATATTTCAAACATTCATTCACTGCACAGGTAAATCCTCGTAATCGATGGATCATCAACTTGGTTGGTTTACATTCATTTTTCTTTTATCCACTTTATTTTCATAATTATGTACATCTTTTGTAATTTTGTTTTACTCCTGTATTATATTTATGCTATGGAGTAGATGACGTTGTGATCTTTGCCTGATACTCGTTGAATGTATATGAATAAAAAAATATGAAGAACAGACGCAGCTGACCAACCTCTACAAGTCCGCTGTTGGTTCTGTCTTTCTTTCTGCTGTCTGCTGACCGGGGTGTAACGGAGCGAGCGGCGCCGTGTTCCTTCACCCTCCACCGCCCGGCGTCCGGTCACCGGCGGTCGGGGTGGGAGGCTTCTCTGTAATTAGAGAGAGTTTGATTAGCTTCGAAAGGACGTTAGGTTTTCGTTTGTGAGTTCGTGTGTGTGTGTGTGTGTGCGTGTGTGTGTGTGTGTGTGTGACTGGTCCGGATGGGAGGTAGCTCTTGGGCTAGGGAAGAAGTGGCGTGAGTTTGGGCCCCCTAGCAGCTTGTTCTGGAACTGCAGGAGCAATGTTTTCAAGAAACGAACCGGTGGACGGATCATCGTAATTTTTGTTTTTAATGGGTTTCAAGATGTTGTTGTATTTGTAAAGCTAAAATAATATATCGCAATGGTCGACTGTGTGCACACGAATATACAGGATTATAACACACAATCATGTTGCTTTTCAATGGTGACTCAACAACGCCTTTTAAAACAGCAACGTACAGTTGCCTGTGTTGGCGGTACAGTTGTCAAATTTGTTCCGGAAAAGAAATAGCCTCTGTGCCAGACAGTGGTCGGTTATTACCTCTGCGGTTTCCAACGGTAATCAAGGCGGATCTACTGCCCAAGTCAAGGCCGCAGATTGTCTGGGCATTTGGAACGACTTAATTGATTCCTCATCGCAACCTGAGCCACCCAGATCCAGCTGTCTAGAACCCAGGCCTGATATGATCGGACCTGGTTCCGCGGGATCAATGTGTTGGAGGTCGGCCACATGCTGCACGTGTCAGTGAACATCAGGAGGAAGGGACATACAGGGACTGATGCCTCGCCCTGATAAATACTCAACACAACTATAGCTAAAATGCCCAATACAACTAGTGTAGCCCATATTGTCTTCAATTCAAATTTGAACTTTTCTCGTCAGACTACCAGATTTCTCTAAAACAATTCATACTGTTGGCATTGCCTACTCTTTCCAAAACATAGATTTCGCTATCATTCAGAACCTATATTGCCAACTAGACTTTTTCCAAGTCCGGTAAACCTAATGTACATCCCAACTGTGAAATTTAAGAATTATTTTCACCATCCTTGCTGCATTAAGCCTAACTCATACACTCTTATCTCCAGTAAGTGACGTGATGTGGTCTTTCCTTATACCAATCGACCGTCTAATTGTTTAGCCATTCAGTAAATGAAATGTGCCTATCGCTGTCATTTTATTCTAGGCCGGAAATGAAGCTTTGATTGAATTCTGAACGCTAGGGCGGGTCCGGTCACTGCCTTTACACATGACCTCTTTGTTGCACAAGTATATCCCATCCACACAATTGTGTTCATGTAGATTTAACTTTCCAAACGAGACCTGCTAAATGTGAAAAGGTCGTGTACATGATTCTCTCGTAATTCAATAGATACGGAGCGAACAATTTCCAGTTAAGATTTAATAAAGTAGAAATGGATTCAGGTAATCGGAAGTGAAAGAATGTTTATTGAAAAACGTCCGGGGAATTGGACTTCCGTAGATTGCTTGGATATTGCACACGCATATGGAATTAATGAAAAGACAAGTGCAATAGTTACGTAACAAACTAGAAAAAGCATAATTTGGTCAGAATGTAAAACTATCTGTTACGCATACGTTTGGGGCTAATTGCAAGTACAAACAACGTGTATGAAAAAAGAAATTACAACTATATAAAGAGTCTACGTCTAACTTTATACTACACTGTACAACATACGTGGTGCTGATTCTGTTGGATTTGACTTCTTTTGAGACAGTGGAAGACGAATGTAGTGTACCCACGTCTTTTTTATACGTTTGTATATAGATTTATGTTATATATATCTTTGATTTTAGTGGTAAAATTGTAAGTATGGCTGTATTTTGGACACGACGGTAAATAATTGGTTTCTGATATCATCATAAAATGAACAATTATAAACACGACTAGAGCTATACTAGATATATATAACACATTTTAATTGTTATGATAAAAATATCTAATTTCCAAACAAGTCATGTGCAACACGACTCTATTTCCCTTACCGTTACCCAGATATGCATAGGGTGAAAAGACTCAGTGACTGGGAATGCCACATCTGCATATCACATACCTTCATATCCTGGTCGCTTAGCAACCAGAATTAATTACTTAAAGATTGGCCTAAGGAATTAAGAATCTTGTCTAGACGGTATTAGATGACTGCCTCTCTTTATGGCTGAGTTGTTAAGAGAAAAGTTAAGGCCGACTTGTTTCGTAAGAATGTGAATGAGCACACGAGTCAGTGAGTACTGCATATTGGTATCAACCTGAAGGTCCTACAAGCTTCAAGGTCCTACAAGTTTTTGAACAGCGACAACGACATGTTGGTAACTCAGTACTCTAGTGTAGGCGTGACTGTTTCTTGTTCTTTGCCTAGCCGGTATTAGATACTTAGAGCAGCTTTGGTATGTCCACCAGATTATTAGTCATTTTGTACATTATACTAATCTCCTACCAGATATTTCGGTGGCTGCAAAGCCAGCATCAAATTAGATAGGCATTTACAATACAGTTACCATCTGCCACACGAAGAAAGATACCATGACAAAAAGAAAACCCGAAAAATACCCATAGAATCAAGTCAAAAATAAGCCGATCGCAAAGCCTAAACCTCTGGTTGGAGAGTAACATTATGAATCAATGTTCCTACTGTCTTCGTATGACACCCAGTATAAGATTCTTCAGAATCACTGCCATCCAAAAGGGCATTTGCCATCAAAGACTATGAAGTTTGTTAACTAAACAAGGATGACTTGAATTTCATAATTACCCCTTGTAGGGAGTATTAGTGAAGATAAACACAAATTAAGCAAATCAGGACTTTATTGACGAAGTAATCAAATTTGGCAAAGATAAGAGGCGTAGAGGAATTTTTCTAATGGTATTCAACTCATTGCTACCCTGGGCAGATGCAGCCACGATGGTCAAATTTGGGCCCAAATATTCCAACCTTTTTATCGAACAGAATCATGTTCGATATGACGTCATTCGAATCGAATCATGTTCGATATGACGTCAATCGAACCGAACGTTCGTTCGATCCGGGGTTACCCGCGGTCATGTACAGTAAACCCGCGGCTTCAAGCCCGCTTTTACACGGGTACCGCCTAACAGTAAAAAATCCACCTTTTCACAACTATAAACCGATTTCGGGACAGTATATCTATGCCCAGTTTTATAGTGGATATGTAACATGTAACGAAGCTACTGTCGTTATCGTGTGTGACCTTGACGATCGTAATTGTTGTTTACGGGGATATAAGTTACCCCCTGCACTTACTCACACGACCTGACATGCGTGCAAACATGGTATTTAAACCGCAACAGAAACAAATTCAATTCACCTCAGAAACGTTTTAAATTGTAGGTAAGACAAAAATCTCGATCTGTGTCGGACGGATTTTTTAAAGATGACGGCGTTCTGGAATTATCCGTCTTGGAAGTTGAAAAAGTGCATTTTTGGGCGAATTTTTCGACCTTAGCAACACTTTAACTTTGAAATAAAGAAAACTGTCCGACTCAAATCTTAATTTTGTTATACTGTTCTCTAAAATGCAAATATGTGGAATTTTCTGAGAGATTTGGGGTCGGTTTAAATCAGTTGTTTCGTTATTGACGTCGATTGTTCTAGAATAAGCATTCTACGCGTTGATAGTGATTTCACACATATTTAAGCATTGTAATAAAAACAACAACATTTGAGGTATACACAGTGCTGATTTTATCACATTTGGACCAGGGAGTCCCCGTGAAACTGTTAATTATTGTTTGACAAAATGTTAACCGTGTGACTGGCTCCACCGAAGCCACGCGTGGAACCCCGGTAACCTGATACCCCTCCGTAGAATTGGAAACTTTACCATAGAAATTGACCGTCGTGAGCCTTGGCATTCTTACAGTATCACAGCTTATGAACAAAAAAATGATTGCCAGCTCTGTAGCTCGCAGCACGATTGTTTTCCAACGAAATTGGCACACAGTTCCCAGACCTATCAGTATATTAAACCTTAATCCCTCACGCAGAAACTGATTTAATTATTACGTTTTTCCACACGTATCGCGTACTTATATACCAGACCGCCGGCTCCATTCAAGATCCGAGCAGCTCACTATAAGTATAACAGGGCTCCAAATACTTTTTGTCTACGTACTAGCACTGATGCAGGTAGCATGTAGCATGGAAAAGTACCTGCACCAGCCAGACAAATTTTACCTACAACACTCAGACTTTGACAAGTATGGATCAGACTTAAAGAAAAACAACTGCTCAAAAACCATTGAAATTACTTCTTTTATACTTCATAATTGGTAACAGCAGTGAATTCAACAAATAACAATAAACCTACATGTACATATAAACCAAGTTCATGGATAAGTGCAGGTTATAATTAGGTCCAGGTAGACAATCTAAAATTCCTGCACAGCTCCAATTCTACCTGCATATGCCCACAATGTTTCGAGCCCTGCTATAAGAATACATAATGGTTCCGACTGACAGTTATACCACCCCCCGGGACTTTTGGTACTTGGAACGACCCATCTTTTGATGAAGAAGAGCATTTGTTTGCTCGTTATCTCCCATCCACATGTCAGCCCTCCCCGGAAACTCATCTACCTGGGATTTTCCTGCGCTCTGTGATCAATCAACTAAGAGGAATATTCTAACGAAGGATCATGTTTTCAAAGTCAGTTTACATCATATAGTAGATATAGATTTACTAAATTGTTATACTTGGCAATTTAGATTGATTACTCTTTGTTATAGCATATGTTTTATTAAAAGTTAACAAAGAAAATTAAATGAATGAAGTTTTTACAGATGTAATATTTTAATTCATAATACAGTATACGATGACAATAGCATTATTCGTTTGATGATTGATGGCAATGGAAGTCATCTAAAAGTGTTAGGTGGTTTGTTATATGACATTGCTGTTAGTTTCCTTTTTAAAAGCATCCAATGTAACGTTAAGGCAGCAGAATTAGATTTACAAAGTCGAATTTTTTCTGGGCATTTTTGAATGTAGTAAGTTGATTCAATCCTATACCATAGTATACTGATAC